GGCGCGCTTTCCTTAATTCTAGTCTGTCCATTATTTTCAGTGTATGTGAAAACAGAGGCACTATTGGGATACCCATGGCAACTTGAAAATTAGAACTCCGAAATAGCATGATCCAAAAGGCCAGCTGGTCATAACTAGTGGATGGCACTTGTAGAACAACCAGGCTGCTTTGGTCACAAATAGATAAGAAAAGGGCGAAAGAGCTCAGCCTCTCAAGAGAGGGTATTATGATGGTCACGGCTTGTGTAACCGGTCATTGGCAATTTGGCAGGCACTCTTCAAGACTGGGAATATACTCCCTTCGAATATTGCAGCAGTTGCAGAAATGAGTAAGAGGAAGAAACCGTAGAGCACTTCTTCTGTAGTTGCCCAGCTTTGGCCAAAAGGAGAGCAGGCTTTTTAGGTATGCCCTTCTTTAGCTCTCTTACGGAATTATCAAGCGTAGCAATAAAACGAATCCTACGCTTTATAAGAGCATCAAAATAGTTCTCTGAAGAATAGTTACCGAGGTTCCCGTGTTCTGCAGTGGTACCACAATGGGCCTTCAAAAGGTGTAAGTGATTTGGTCCCTTGAACCGACTGCCACTTCAACCTACCCTAACTTAACCTACAAGTTTTTATTTCTTACAAAAGCACACCGAAGCAATTAAGTTCTGCCTAGAGACTTAAATTTTTAATAGGGCTGTATTCGGAAAAACAAGGAGCTGTCAACAGGGCGGAAATCTGCGTAGAAATCTGTAAGATCATTTATGACTCGCAGGTTCGTGGCAGGAAAGAGCTGGGAATGCTCACCAGAGATACTGAGGTGGATGTATACGACGATAATACGACCCATGATAGCTTATGGAGCCATCATTTGGTTCGATAGAACGACACAACTTGAGACAATGAAAGCGCTCACCAAGACACAAAGGCTGGCAGGTGCATGCATAATTGGAGCCATGAGAACTTATCCAACCGCATCCTTGGAAAAGGCGAAAGGAGAGTTACTAAGGATGACTGATACCACTATCGGGGTAGAAGGGTTTCTTAGTCGTCGGAAGTTCGATATTATGACGAAGAAGTGCCCTGAAATTTCAGTACCAAGGGATACCATGCATCTGAGGTGTAGCTTTACAAAGACGTTTAAAACTGGTCTGAGTATCAAGAAGAGCTGGGCAGTCTGAGATAAATTGGATAAGCCAAAACATGATAACCTGGTACACTGATGGCTCATTGACGGAAGAGGGTACTGGGGTAGGTCTAGTTAAACCGAGGTTAAGATACTCGGAAGAACCCATGGGAAAACATGTGTTCATCTTCCAGGCTGTGAAATACGCCATAGAAATATACGCCGATTTTAATATCAAGCGAAACTATCGGAATAAGAACATCACGATCTTCATTGACAGCCAAACGGCAATAAAAGCCCTCAAATCTCATCAGGTAAAACTCTTGGTCTGACCAATCGGGTTTGGGTTCTCTGGATTCCGGAACACATTGGTATTGAAGGAAACGAAATTGCTGATAAACTTGCAAAGAAAGGAGCATCAACCCCTTTCATAGGCCCAGAGCCCATGTGTGGCATAGGAAAAGGAACACTCTCTGCCCTGGACCGGTTAGAGGAAGAAACTCAAGGAAATCAATATTTGGATAATCTACCAGATCTATAGCAATCCAAAGCACTTTTAGGAACATATAACCTAAAACGCTGTAAGGAATGTATGAACTTATCCAAGAATAACTTAAGAATTATAGCAAGAATCCTGACAGAATATTGCAGGCTGAACTATTACCTAAATAAACTGGAAATTTGCTCGCAGGATATCCTACTGATGCCCAAACACAAGAGACACCTGGGTGAACCATTATAGGAGAAAATCAAAATTCACATATCTTCTAAAGTAAAGTATGTAGGAGTTATTGTGGATGCCTGAGCCGGCTGGGCTCTAAAATAATCTGTAGATATGCTTATTTCAATGTCCTTACTTTCGCCCTTCCAAAGGCCGGACACTCGCAGAGAAAGTATTCGTTAGGGGTTTATGGTTGGTCCAAACTATTGGATGATATAGTCGCTGGGCAACGCTTTTACATCCGAACTTAACCACAAGTAAGTGTCCCCAATCGAACACCCGCAATTTGGTTGCGCTGTTAGCAGCTGAATTTTCAACAAAAACATCTATCGGTACTAGAGCGAGCAGAACGTAGCGTCAACTCTGAGTTTCGTGGCTGAGTGGAGCCTGAGCCACATATAAATTAGAAAAAGTTTTTTCTACCAGCTGTCGCCTCTAGCCAGGCAATGCCAAGACAATTTCTGCCTTCTCATGCAAACCCGTTGCCGTTCGGAGGCGGCAGAAAGTTGTTGGTGCTTCCATTTGTGTTATAACATCAGGACGCATCAGACACCTAGCAAAAGTGTTATTATTAATATTTTAAGTAAATTTAGTTTTTTTAGAGTTATTTTATAAAAAAAGCTAAAGCAACTATGTATAATTCCATTAACAAAATAAAGGTTATAATTGAAGGAACTAAAAAAAACATAAAAATTAATATTTGCTGGTCGTGAGATTCGAGCCCACTACGTCGCGGCTCGGTTAAATCGCGATGCGGGCGTCTGTCAGGGTAAAATTGTGAAGAGATCAACAGCGCCGTTAATCCGGACTAACGTTGGTAGGTAGGTAGGATGAAGCGGCGATTGGCTGAGCGGCTTAAAATTAAAACATATGAAATACTATTGAAGTGGCCACGCACTGAGCGGCATTTCTGTATGGCGCCGCTCAGCCACTCGCCGCTTTACGGCTCATTGCGTGACCTCAACATTAGCGGCACACTTAGGCCAAAGATAGAAGAGTCATTGTGTTACCACAGTTTGACACCGTTCAATTATCCTCCCTGTTAAACCACTTCGTGTCGCTGATGAATCTCAACAGGCAACCTGAGTCAGTATTTGAAAACTCCGTAAGGTTTGCTAGGAACGGTAAGACCCAAGTGAGGTCAAGGCTGTTCACAACTTGCAAACAACGGCATTTGCAAGAAAATATTTGTCGAGTAGTTTTAGATTGAAGGTTTGAGGAGGAATTAATTCGGAACCTACAAAGTAGCGATCTACATTTGGGAGTCCCACAATATGCTATATATTATTTTCTAGTTCTAAACATATTCAAAAGTTTATTTCGGAAGTTACTCGCCTTCGAGATAAATAATTGAGCATGCTAATGAGAATATGTGCTTTCTCTTTTCGAAACTAATTTATATTGTCCATAGAGACTTTCAATAAAAATTGTATTTCGGTAAAAGCGAATGCAATCATATAAGTAGTAATACGTACCTTTGGATCGACGGGCATTTTAAATTGCTGACAGTATTCGAATCGTTTCAACAAAACACTCAGAAAAGAGAGCACTTCAACATCGGAACCATTTTCGGTCAGCTCCTGAGCAAAGCGTAATGCCTGAATGGACTCGTTATTGCGTTTTTCTAAAATCAGCAAACAACATTAATTAATTTACGTTTTTTCCTCAAATAAAATACAGCAGTGCACTTTGCAACACCCACCTAAATCCAGCTGCTGCTCGAGTATCATCTCCACTTTGGATTCGCGCGCGCGATGCACCTGTTGCAGTAACGTCTTGCGATGCACTTCGACCGCTTCGAAGTACTGGCGCGTGAAAGTCTCTATCTGCGCTTGTATGTCATCACACTTTTTGTATATGCGCTTGGCAATCTCGTTCATACGCTCAATTGAATGCTCTGCATAGCTGCAGAGCGGACGCGTATGATCGACGGCGTCGTGCAGCAGTTTCGAGTAATTGGTGAAAGCTTTTGGGATGGACTCATGCCGGTGACCCTTGTGCAGCAACACAAGGCAGTCGGCGCAGGCGATCTGGGGGAAAAAAAGAATTTTTTTGAAAAAGAATATTTTATTTTCCACATTAAATATTCAAATATGTACCTGCAAACAACTATTGCAGAACGACTTCATTTCGAAGCCCGGATGCATGCCACACTTTAGTGTGAAATTCGTATTATCCTCACTGAGTGTTTGCTGCTTTTTACGCGAGCGTCTCAGCTCCATAATATTCCGTATGCGATGATTTGCTGTGTTGCGCTGGCGCTCGTGTACCTCCTTGCAGACATGCACAGATTTAGCGTACAACTGATGCAGTGGTAGGTTGCCTAAAAGTAGACTATGCCGTATGAAGACAAAAACAGTGCACAATTGCAAAATGCTTTCTCTTGCCACTCACATTTATTTCCTCTAAACATAGACTGCACCAAACCTTCGTTATGACTTCATCACCCATTTCCTGTTTTATCGCTTAGATTTTGCGCACCAGCGAATAATTCTGCGGCAATTGGCGTATGCCACCCACCGGTATTACGGTCGCGTATTTGCATGTTTTGCAGCTGATGTCAGAGAACTTAGATAGATAGAGAAGGTGCAAATTTTTGAAACGTAAAATTGTTTGGCTGATAAATAAATCCATGGAATTTCACCACATTGCGATTAACATTTGAACACGAGTTAACAGCAAAAAACGTTAATATTCTGTTATGATAATGTTATGTTATGTTGCAAGTGCCTGGCTGTGTTGCTAGGTTGCTGGTGAATGCAGAAGCATATTCATGTATATGTTTTTATAAAATTAAATAAATTAAAAGTTAAATTATATGAATTGTACTTTTAAGCATTTCGGATCTTCATATATGCATGACCATTTGTTAAATATATTTTATTGAGTAGTTAATATTGCTTTAACGACATAAAAAATCCAAAAACTCAAAAAGCATGTGTTCAAGTTCGCTTCTTGTACGAGTATATAGTATATGTATATATAAACATATATAATATATGTATATAGTAGGTAGTAAAAATGCATGTTAGTTGAAAAGAATTCTAAAATTGGTAAAAAATTCATATTAATAGTTTTGACCAATTAAAAAAAATATGAAAATTGTTTATATTGTATTAAGTTATATGAAAATTCTTGTTCGAAGAAACATACATACATATGTATATGCCAGTGTATGCTCTCACTGCAAACCTTATGAAAATTATGTACACATGCAATTGGCAAACTCCTTGGTGATTTGTCGTCGGCATTTCAAAGAGGCTTTTGGTCGAAAAAATCTATTTTTTTCTTTTTGGTAGCTGCTATGCTATTTACATATAATGCAACAAACCACAATTTTCTAGCTGCTTTAGTTTTTTCACAATTTCACTTTAAACATGGACACATTGACAAAAAAAACGTACAAATGCAATGCATTTGTTAACTTCAAGGTGTTTTCTTGAAAAGTTATTTTTGAGTTTTATGAACATTTATTTTGAGCAAATGTGTTGCATGCAGGGTACGAAAATAAACTATATTGTACGTTACTATTTCGTTTCGTTTATTACTTCAACAGTTCGGTACAATACGAAAACAAAACCGCTGAGTTCACTTTGGAGATAGTACACTACAGTAGTTTAGTAGTTACAGACAAAACAACAAACGAAATGAATCGTGCAGAGAAAAATATATGTATGTATGTACACATATCCAATAACTAAACAAACAAAACAAATAGCTGCAATGAATAAAAAAATAAAAATGTTTTTTAATTGAATTGGATATGAAAATTTACAGAAAAAAATATTTTTCACGTAATTGAAACGTTTGTGATATCACCCTATGGCACAATTGTCACAAACGAAAAGCAAACGTTTCTAGTTGGGGAAAATGACAATGAATCTTACAAATTGTTTCTGACTATGTACAAAACTGTACAAAACCACAAATGATATGATGATCGATGAGCAAATGGGAATTGTTTTGTACAGTTTATTTTCGTACTCTGGTTGCATAGTTATTTTCCACTGCAAATACTCGTATTATATGTAATTAATGGGGCATATTCATAATCAAAATAAAGTCGACACTAAAGTTAGTTACAGATTTTTGACTTAAGTATAGAGTCGACTTTATTTCTCACGCATGCGCATACGGATGTATGTATGTACTTACAAATGCGCTACATATGTATGTAAAAATGGACATACTCCAAAATCATATATGAATTGATAACGTTTCCCTCTATGTACTTATGTGTACATACATACCTAAATAACCACGCAAATCATTTATTGATAACGTTCTTACACATGCACATACTGTAACATACATATAACAACTTCCTTCTTATTTGAGGTTGACAAACTTTAACTTCAGAGTCGTCTTTATGTCGTCTACGAATATGCCCCAATAGTTTTGCAGTCAAATGAAAATGCATTTTCCACGCATATATACATATGTAAATGCATACTCCATTAATTGATAACATAAATACATACATGCATATATAGATAAGTATGTACATACATACATACGTATGTGCATATTTCTGCCAAATACTACGCACATGCATAGGTGCATATGTACAACTCAGCATACATACATAATCACGCACATATTCAAATACAACAAGAACTATTTCATTCATAACGCATGCGCGTATTTCTCGAGGCCAAATAAATTCATTCATAACTACCGCAGCACATCTCCCCGCAATTTCCTCACCAACAAGCGCAACTTTTTCAGTCCGACACAAAAATGCTAAAATCTAAAATTTAAGAATTCTCGGCCAGCAAAGTGAAAAGTGGCAACTATTTCTCTATATCCAGTAAAATTAGTTATCTCGAATTTTGGTAATTTTTGGCAAAACAATCTATTTCTCTGTTCCACAACAATATTTCAGTCATTAACTAGTATTTTAGAGTGTAATTTTAATTAACATTAAATAAAGTGAACGTTTTTTGCAGGAAAATACATAATTTTTTTTTTAATAAAATCAAAACTCCATACATATGTGGTTTTATCGGAAGTTCACAAATGTAACGTGGCAACTTTGCTCGTTTGCACATTTTTCGGTCCGAAATTGTAAAATTTTTGTCCATGACGCGCCGCGATTTTTGTACAGGTGGGTCAATGTGCCTTGAACACCATTTGTATAATTGCAAAAAAATTATTCTATTTATTTTTGAATATTAAAAATTTCTAAACTTCAAAGCGTTTATAAAAATATATTTACATATATCCACGGATGATTTTTAATTTTTTTCACCCGTAAGCAAATCTTCAGTACCATAAAAAGATTCAACCACATCAAAGTACAAGATATGCTATGTCCAAGCTAGTGCTAGTCCACTGTATATGTCCATATGTATGTCTGCATGTATGCGTGTAAATATGTCAACTCAAATTTGATTTTAACCCATTTTAGCGGACATAGTTTTTTTCATTCCAGCCGTTTATATAACATGAATTTTATAGTTAATTTTCATGAAAGTTACACGTATCGTCGAGAAAATGTTTACATGCAGAATTTTAAACGAAATATTATTATTCTCCATATAAAATGTACGAGTATGGCTTTATTAAATGTTAACTTATGCGAAAACCTAAATATTTCGTCAACCTAGGGTTAATATTGATGGCGTCGTGGCAATTTGCAGAAATTTAATAATTTGTCTGTGGCTGGCTGACGGCGTGGGAAAGACGAAAGCAGACCAATCGTACATATGTATGCACATATTTACATTTATTAATGCATACATATTTATGCGTTTGCCTTTTTGGATGAATGAAGAATATCATATATGTAGTGATTTAGAGATTACAGTTTGAATGATGTACTGTGGCGCGTATGCTAGAGGCGACGCAGCTTTTTGGCGTCTCGCCGTTTGTCTTGGTTCAAATCCCGGACGGACAAAGTAATAAATTTTTTTTTTGTTTTTTTTTTTAATTGTCAAAACCATATTCCATTTTAAATTTTACTATTAGCTTTGTTTAAAATAATATATGTAAATGGATATGTAGGTACAAACGCATGCATAATTTCACATAATCGCTCAAATTTGCCAAAAGTTACTGAAAGCTTTATTGTAAATATTTTCACTAAAATATTAGTTGTTGGAATTAAAATTTTATGCGAATCCAATTTTTATTCCCATTTTTAGAAAGCGCAAGTATGTATATGTTCGTGCCACAAAAATTATTTCATAAGTAGTTAATTTTAAACACAAATATAAACACTGGCAAAGTGAGTGCATCCTGTTTTTTGTTTAATATTTGCAATGTTTTTAAGTTAAACTTTTTTGTTATTTTCGACGGGAATTGCGGTTTTATGCATATAGCAAGTGCAATTTGTAAAAAATAGCGCTAATTTTTTTTTATTTGTTTGCAAACGGTCATGCGCATTTTATTCTACTAGAAATTCACTTTTATCTGGTAAAAAGTGCAAAAAGCCGTCAGCAATAAATAATCATTAAAAATCAACCGGATTTTTTAGCCACTTAAAACTTGATCTTGTTCCACTAGAATTAAAAAACCGATCTATCTGCGTACTCAAAATTTTTCTAAAAACTCAGATTAAACAGGTCAAAATTTAGACGAGAATTCGTTGAATTTTTCTATGTTCTCTGTAAAGTTTGAAAGTTTGACTTGTATAGTTTTGATTAAAGCATGAACCACATTTTTTATAAAAAGATAATAAAAAAAATTAATTGAAAAACATTGCAAATATTAAGCAAAAAACACCATGCACTCACTTTTGATTGCCAGTATATGTATGCATGTATATATGTGTGTAAACTTTATGCCAAACTATCATTATTTTAAATGTATTTGCATCTTCATAAAAGGAGAACAAGATAAAAAATTTAACAAAAATTACAAATTAATAAAAATTATGTGAAGATGTACCATACTTCGTTTATTTGCTCGCAAAGAACATCACATTTCATGTTGCTCAACATTGTATTATGTTATCAACATTAAATTCAACAGAATTTCATTCCGACTTGAACTTTTCTAACGCTGTTAATTTTTCGTCCGCGAATAGTTTCCACTTTCAGTTTGCACCTTCTCTATCTATCTAAGTTCTCTGGCTGCGCTCATGCGTATAGAGGAAGAACTTTCCGAGCTCTTGCCATCGGATTTGGACTGGAATGTGTGTAGCAATAATTTTGTTATCGATTTATATATATTTAATGTTTTACCCACCCTTACTTTTAGTAAAATCCGTTCGAGCGATTTTTTTCGTTTAAAACTGAAAGAGGAATGGCGTGTTCGTGAAGGTGAAGTAGAACCGCTGCGCACCGACATGTCGGGAGAGGAAGCTTTTTGTTGGAAGCTTTTAAAATGGGGAAATTATAAGAAATGCGTCAAATATAAAGTAAAGTATTATATATTTTTGTAAACATAACAGAAAGTAGAGTATTCAACTTAATTACTACTACTTAAAAAAGGCGTGAGTATTACGTACTCTTGAAATTTGATATGTTAACATCTGTGTTCAGTACCAGTTCCGAAATGGTCCCAAACTAAACCCGGACTGGCCACAAACTAGATCCGAAAAAGTACTTAACTAGTCCCAAACTGGAACCGAAGTAGTTCCAAAATAGCCTCAAACTTGTTTCGTTCTACTACCGAACTAGGCCTAAACTAGTTCCGAATTAGTCCCCAACTAGTCCCGAAATAATGTCGAACTGCCACCAAATAATCCGGAACTTGGAATTACACTTAGAAAACACCAATACAATAATGAAAGTAAAGGTGAGTAAGTTCATAGATAAAGAAAAGGAAAAAGGTAAAGGTAAAAAGAAAACAAAAACAAAGATGCGTAAAGGTAAATGCAAAAATGGAGATCAAGGTAAATTTAAACACTTTACTTATATAAGGGCAAAGGTGAAGGGGAATATGTAGATGAAGAAAATGATAAACATAAAGGTAAAATAAAGATAAATATAAAGAAGTAGTTGAGGATGAGGATACCGATAAAAGTAAAGATGAAGATAGAGGAAGGAAGATTAAAATAAAGGTAATTATAGAGAAAAGGATATAGATAGAGACACAGAGACTCAATCTGGGAACTATCGATTATTTATCAATTTTGTTATGGATATTTTTATCGATATTTTGATTGATATTCTTTATCGATTTTCTAATCGATTTTGTTATCGATATTTTTATCGATTTTCTAATAGATTTTGCTACCAATATTATTATCGTTTTTGCTATCTAAATTTTATCGAATTTGTCATCGATTTTCTTCCGATATTTTATCGATTTTGTTATCAGTTAATTATATATTTTATTATCGATTATTTACCGATTTTGTTAACAATTTTTTTATCGATTATATATCGGTTTTGTTAACGATTTTTTTATCGATTTTGATATCGATTTTGTTACCGGTTATTTATCGATTTTGTTATCGATATTTTTATCGATTCTGTTATCAATTTTTGTTATCGATTATTTAACGAATTTGTTATCGATATTTTTATCGACATTTGTATCGACTTTATTATCGATATTTTTAAAGATTTTGTTACCGATATTTTATCGATTTTATTATCGATATTTTTATCGAGTTTTTTATTGATTTTGCTACCAATATACAAAATGGATATGTAACATAAGTTTCACTTCTCCAGTGTAGCCCAGGCGCACTTATTTTTTTTTTTGTTTTTGCTGGGTTTACTTTAATAACTGATGTTTTGAGTGGAATGAAGAAATTCACTCGAGGTAAAAGCATAAACAGGAAGCACATGGTATACACTAATACACAGGGTAGCAAATAAAGCAACAACCAAACATTTGGGCATATAAAAGTACACATGCATACCTACACCAGTACTCAAATACACTAAGGGGGTTGTGCTAAAAAGGAATGCGGAAAAAAAGATAATCACTAAGGGCCGGTTGTTCAATGTCTGGTTATCACTGCCACTACACTTTCGACGATTTCGACATCATGCATGTAACATGTGCTCGATAAAGCAGTCGTTGTACTTAACCGGAGCTTCTACCTCCGATTTGTGCTGATCAGACATTGAACTTGAAGTTCTGAACAATTTGAAAACGACGAGCTACCGACCACAGCTTCCAATTTGTCATCTTTATTATCTAAGCGCTTTGTCGATGGCAACATGATTTCTTTGAACGCGGCAGCGACATCATGAATTTGTATGAGTTTGACATAAAAGAAGAGGAAGAACCTTATCTGTCGCCAGAAAAATAGAAATAGATCTAATCTGGCCACAACCACAGCCGTCGCGTAGCCCGGTCGTCGCCAAAATAATTATCTACATAAGAGTACGTGTTAAAATAATTTGACAGCTGTGGTTTGTAGCTCGTCGTCTTCATTGTGTTCGGGCTATTATGGGGATAAAGCTTCCAGAGGTGAAATTTTAGGTAGCACACAATTTCTTACACGCATGGTTGCTTTTCAGCACTCATGAAAGAAACTTAAGAAATATTTGAAAAAAAAGTTCATATAGTACATTAATTTTGAAAGAAATACCATATAATGTATGTACTCTGGTTAATAATATCAAAAAATGTATTAGAACCACCGTTTAATGTTATATTTGATACAAATTAATATTGCTGCCCCGAACGCTCTGCGCCTTGCCACTGAATAATAGATTTACTTAAAATTACATCCCTGGTCCTTGTTCTTTCTGTATCGCATCGTGGTGAATTCATATTTCTCAGAAATTTGACAACAAAACAAAACAAAGCGAGTATTTGGAACTACCCTCTAAACTAAGAGCAATCTTCCTAACATCAAAAGAACTCTTAAATATAAAATTTTTGAATCCTCAACTTTACGAAGAAGTTGCGCAAGGGCCGCACGTAAATTCAAGCTATAACTTCTGCTTTAATAAATATCACACTATTTTCAATAAGGTTGATAGAAATGTTGAGTTCATAGTGTCTAGGAAGTATAGCGTAGATTTAAATATTTTAACTCCTTTGTCCACAACTAAATCAAATGTATCCAATGAAATTATTAGAACCCTATGTCAACAACGTGCAGAGTCGTATAAAAATAGAAATTTTGTAATATTTGCCACTGATGCCTCTATCAATAATGGATCCTGTGGTATAGCAGCATACTTACCATCAAAAAATGTATCGTACATTTATAAAATTAATGACCCTTTGTCTTCTCTGTCGGCTGAATTAATCGCGATTAAATGCGCTGTCTTGATAGCTGCAAAAAGTAATTTAAAAAAAATTGTAATTTTTACTGACAGCAAATCCAGCTGTGTTCTTTTAAAAAGCAACGTAAGAACAACCATACAGTTGCCCAAATCAATACGATCATTGAGGGATCATCTATCGAGTTCTGTGAGTTTGTTTGGGTGCCAGGACATTCCGGGTTTGTTCTGAATGAAAAGGCGGACAGGGCTGCAAAAATAGCGTTGGTCAGTGGTACTACTATACATGTACGATATAGCAAGAAAGATGCTCTTCGGAAAATTTACAATTCCTTAAGGGAAGAATGGAATCAGGAATACAAACTATTATCGCAACACAAGGGAGCTTTCTTTGCGGAAATCTTCCCAGAGCTACCATCAAAGCCGTGGTATCACAAGTCGTCTCTATCTGTGGAATGCATAAAAATTATTAATAGACTTTTTTCGGGTCATAGGTATGATAGAAGATACTTGTATCGGATAGGTTCAATTCCAACGAATATTTGTCCTTTGTGTGATACTGAAGAAAGCCTTGATCACTCGGTCTTCTTCTGCGCTAAATATAATGCGTTTAGATGCGATTTTGCCTTTTTTAATACTTTTCGTACAATTAAGGAAATCTTGCTAACGAAGGATGTATCTATTATTTCTCAGCTCGTAAAATTTCTTAAGATAGCTGATATTAAAGTATAACGATATCTCTCAAATCAAGATTAATATACACAATTAAATCTAACTACATGTTTGCTTTGTTTTGACTCGGACTACTTGACTACCATTGACTGTAAACATATGACTGTTTACCATTGACAACCATTTGTTGACTGATCTGGCAATGTGGTCTTTGCACCACAGCTAATTTATTGAAATCTCAAAAAAAAAAAAAAAAAAGCGAGTATTTTATTTGCTAATTTTTGCGATTTCTATTGTTTAATGTAAATTTGTCCTTTTAGGATATGTCGAGCCAACAAAGGAGGCGCAGTTGGAAAATTTAGTAATTAGTAATGAAGTAGCTGGCATATTTGGAAAATTATTCCGATAAACAGGATGGAATTTGGGAAAGTAAGTGCATGGTTGCAGCATATCTATGTATAAAAAGTATTTAATTAAATTGTTTATAGAAATGTTATAAATCGAGTGGCTCATTTACGATGTGCTCCAAACATTTGGCGAACTTTTTTTCGCCTTTTCATCGTGCTAAGTAACAAGTTAAGATGTCTGCCATCATGGGCCGGTAAGAAACCGCAAGCAAAGGGCAGACAACCTTCCAGGAAGCTGCCTCCTGTCTCCGAGCCGAAGCTGCAGTTCAGCAAGAGCAGGTCAGCAAATTGCTACCCTGATCAAACGTAAACTAAAGCGCTCTGCTGTGATTGCACTCCGTAAATGTGAAAACTTGGTGCATGCTGAGAAATATCAAACAAGAAAACTCCGTGATGGACGCCGTGAGATGGAGTAACGCTGTGTGGCAAAGAAATGCAGCCATTCCCTTTTTGACTGTGAGTGATGGTGGACGCGTTTGGCGCATAGTAGTGTTTCAAAAACTTTTCTTTTGGCGCATTAGCACAAGTGTATGTGCAATATACATTTATCAGTGGACTGCAAATCTGTATAAGTACAGTGAATTGGAAACCTGTAAAAGTACAGCTAACTGTGAAGCTCAGCGCTTCATGTGGGGCGATTCTGCCTATTAATAATCTTAACCTTTGTGAAAACTTATACTTGGACACCACATTGTGTGATAGCAGCAAGAGGTCAGGTGAGTGATTATAACCTGGTTAGGGTTGTGAAATCTTTCAGCTTCTGCGCTGGTTTTGTGCTCATTACTTAAAAGTTCTGATTAAATAAAATTAAGCCTGCCGCGTACGGCAGGAAAAACTAAAGCCGCTATGGCGTCCTCGTCTCAGGGGGCGTCATCGGCGGACGACTTCGAGACTTTCTCGAGCATGAATTGTGCTAAAGGCAAACGCCTTAAAAAAGATAATGAAGCTAAAATAATAAAAATGTTAAAAACACAAAATTTTACGCAGTTAAAACTTGACATGGGTGTAACCAGTCAGGGGAAAAATGTGGAGGAACAAAGTGAGAACGAAATGAGCATTGACATACAAACAGATAAAGGGACGCTGACGAGTACCGATAGCCCGCTATTGGCACCGGACAACGGACAACAAGTAGGTACAGTGACGACAAAAGATGCTCACACAAGTGCAAAGACTGACATCACTATGTATCCTGCCAATTTCACTGGCGTATACCTAGTATTAGTGGACTCATCACAATGCAGTGATATGATTAATGACAGAGTCACAAACGGCTTAACATTGTTCAACAAAATCAAAAACTTTAGAATAAAAGACATAGATCTCATTTTTGCCATCGGCAAGAGTTTATACAAAGTGACCTTTAAAAATGCGGCCGCAGCTAACAACTTCGTGCTAAATGAAAAAATTATGTCTATTGGCCTCAGAGCCTTCGTACCAAAAACTGCAGTTGAAACATACGGTGTTGTGAGAGGCATCCCGACATGGTGTGAGGAAACTGAGATAATGGCTGATGCCATCTCTAGTGTACCTATCACCTCAGTCAGGCGTTTTACGCGTAGAAACCAAGATAGTGAATCTTTTTCGCCCACAACAACGGTTAAAATAGGCTTTTCCGGAAAAGATATTCCGGATTTCATAATTTTCAACTACACTAAGCTCCATGTCGATTTTTATGTTCCTCCCCTTAGGCAGTGCTTAAACTGCGGTAGGTTAGGACACACACAGTTTGCGTGCAAATCTAAAAAACGGTGCATCAAATGTGGCCTTGTTACCTGTGACCTAAACTCGTGTAATAAAAAATGTATTTTATGTGGTAGCCTAGAACACGTGTCCACTGACAAGACTTCCTGCTCGATGTGGGAGAAAGAACAGTCTATAAATTATGTAAGAACTGTTAAAAAAATGTCCAGGCGCGAAACAATTAAGACCTACTTTTCAGAAAGTCAGAATCGCTTTGATTTGCTAGCTACTGAGGACACTGATTTCCCGAAAATACATGAAAACCAGGAAAATATTAAAAACAGGGATTCCAATGTAAACAAAAAGCTTACCAGAGTTAAATATAGCACAATCGCACGCAAAATAAGCCCAAGCAAAAAAGCACCAGTACAACAAACAATTAGCAGAGAAAACCGTGTCACAACCCCCAGAATTTCTGTTCTTGACAGACCAGAATACCTCAAAGGTAGGGTTTCTGAAATGGAAAAGCTCATCACCGAGCTTTTCAGCATTATTCAAAAAGCGTGTGCGGGTGAACACTTTGACGGAATACTAGGGGAGGTGCAAAATATTAAGCAAAAGTTTGACCAATGCTTAATTCAGGAAGATCTATATGCAATAAACAGGGGTACCGTTCCCCCTTCTCATGTCTAACACATGAAAATTCTCCAATTTAATTGTCAATCCTTAAAATCTAATATCAATACCATAGAGTATTACTTAAATCACTACGAGTACGACCTTGCATGCCTTAGCGAAATATTTACTGCAAATGATCAACAACATAGAAATATTTTAAATTACAACATCATAGAAAAAAATAGAGATGATGGCTATGGCGGTGTCGCCATAGTCTTAAAAAAACATATTGCTTTCCAAAAACTAAACTTTTCATCCAACTTTGATATTCTAATTGTTAAAACTAAAAATTTCCAGCCAAACCTAGTAATTTGTGCAGTGTATTTCCCTCCAAGAGTTCTAATTAACGATTTTAAAAGCGAAATTATTACTAATACTTGGCGACTTCAATGCAAGGGCGACAGTGTGGGGTGACCATACTCAATCTTGCAGAGGCAACAACCTGCACAAAATCATATCAGAACACAATTTTTGGCATTTGAATAATGGCGAGTACACTTTTAAAAATGATATTTTGTCCACAAATGGATCAGTCCTTGACTTATCCTTTACAAACAGCACTATTTCCTTTGAGTGGAAGACTGACCCCATTCGTCTGGGGGGCAGTCATCACTTCCCAATCACTTTAGAGACCACTATGGTCACGCATAAAGGACATAGGTTTCTGGCCCAAAAAAAACTATTAGAAAACTTACAAAAAACCACTTTCGAGCCAAACGTTGACGACATGCATCTCCAATTTCATACAGAAATTGAAGCGGCCACCCATACACTCCGCTCAAGAAGAAGTCCTAAACCGTGGTGGACGGATGAACTTGATAAAACTTTCAGATTTCTGAAAGCAGCGTACAAGAAATGCAAATCCACTCCCTCACCCCAAAACTTTCTAGATTTAACTGAAATTAAAAAAGACTGGAAAAAAACAAGTAAAGGAAGCAAAAAAGAAGAATTTCGAGAATAAAATAGCAGAATTAAACGATGCCCCTACCACAAAAAATGCGTGGAGATTTGTAAAAGCTCTTAGGGGTGATTACAAAAACTCCAACAACTCCCCATGGTCCAACGAAAACGACAAAGACTTTCTGAATTTATTAAAAAATCAAGTTCCGACCGGTAATAACTGCCTACCAATCAATAAAGAATTAATTCCGGTAAACAACCTTGCAATATCTTTTGACGAATTACATAAAGTAATACACTCCAAAAACAGGAGCTCAGCCGGTGGTGTAGATCTTGTAACATACAAAATGCTTAAAGCCCTACCTGATGAAATGTTCAATAATGTGCGCACTGCCCTCAATGACGTTTTCCTTACAAACCAAATTCCAGAAAGATGGCGCACGATCAAAATAGTACCAATTCCAAAAAAAGATAAAGACTTAAGTATTTATTCTAACTTCAGACCGATTGCCCTAATCTCTGTTTTTCTAAAATGTATAAACCTTTGTATTAAAGATAGAATCTCTTGAGGAAAATGATAAAATACCTAAACAGTCTTTTGCTTACAGAAAGCACAGATCAGCCACAAATTGTATAAACTACTTTTTACACGAAGCGGCAAGACTTAAAAAACAAGGCCGAAAAGTCATCGTATGCACCTCAGCATAATCAAGCTTAAAGAGATCATGACCCAGGTTGGCATCCACAGTGTCTACTCTGAATGGATTTGCAATTTTCTTGCATACAGAAAACTACAACTTGGCAAAGCGTCCATCGAAATACATGATGGTCTACCTCAAGGCAGTTGTCTCTCGCCATGTCTTTTCAACTTATACACCAGGGAACTGCATTCCATTCAGGATGCGAACACTAAGCTATACCAGTTTGCCGACGACTTCCTCATCGTGTCTCATCACGAAAACACTGATCTCGCCACCTCAAATCTGAGGCGCAAACTAAACGACTTCTCGGTGCTATGTTCTAAATTAAATCTATCTTTTAATGCGGATAAAACCAAGATAATGTACTTATGCAAAGGAAGGCGCACAACGATTGACATTAGATGTCAAAACCAAACAATTGAACAGGTTCACACCATCAAATTCTTAGGTAGGCACATCAGCGCTTCACTTTCTGTCCAAGAGCACTATGCTGAGACAATCAAAAAGTCTTACAGGAATTCCAACCTCTTTAAATGCATCACGACAATCAAATCAGGGTTACATCCACAGGTGGCACTCAATTACTACAAATCAGTAGTCCGCAGCAAAATTGAATACTGCAGAACATCTACTACAAACTGCTCCAAGACAGTAAACAATAAAATTCAAACATATCAAAACAGTTTTTTGAGAAGAAGCCTTGGCCTCACCCCAGCCACCCCGATCCCCATAATTTATGCAATAGCCAACGAACTACCACCGGCTGAAAGTGCAACGTGGCTTACTGCCAAAGAATTAATTAATAATCTCATAACAGATAACAGTTTCAGGGAACTCATGGCTAGCTCAGACAATG